TAGATCCCGATCAACAAGGGAGTTATGAATAGTTCACCATTCGGACTCCCTTCAAAAGCTAGTGAAGGTCATCGTAGAATTGCTTAGTTATTTATCTTTCATTTATTTCTTTGATTTTCGTTTGTTCTTTTAGAAGAGACATTCTCGTAACCCTATTGAGCATTATAAAGTATTGTATGATGAATGTAAATCATAACTCTATTATTTTGCTTCCGCATTTAATTTATGACTTTATTTCTATTTAAGTTCCAGACTCTTACACCGCCCCTCTGACTTAGCTCACAAAGAAGAACATTAAGATTGAATGGAATGAAAACTGCGAAATGAATTTTATAAAACTCAAGAAGCGGTTGACTACTGCACCCGTGTTAGTTTTACCGAGTAGAACAGGTGAATATACAATATATAGTGATGCATCCTAACTGGGATTAGGTTGTGTTCTGATGCAGTGTGGCAAAGTCATAGCATATGGGTCTAAGTAGTTAAAGAGTCATGAGAAAAATTACTCCACTCAAGACTTAAAACTTGTCGCCATTATTCATGTCTTGAAGATCTGACGCCACTACCTGTATGGGAAGACTTTTGAAATTTATATTGACCATAAGAGCTTGAAGCACATATTCACTTAGAAGGATCTCAACATTTATCAGAGGCGTTGGATAAAGCTTCTCAAGGATTACGATTGTAATATTTTGTATCATCTGGGAAAGGGCAACGTAGTAGCCAATACACTCAGCAGAAAAAGTATAGGTATGTTAACTCACCAAATAGTTCTGAATGCAAGGTAATAAAGATCGCACAACATATACGACTTTAGAACTTCAAGAAAGTTACATGCTTGGCCCACTTGACTATTCAACATGAATTGATCCACAGAATAAAAGAAGCTCAATTAATCGATTTCACCATAGCCGCCCTCAATGAAGATGGAGAATAGGGAGCACATCCATAATTTCAAGTCTCTGTCGATGGGTTACTTAGCTTCCAGGATAAGGTGTGTGTTCCAGATAACAGTGAACTTAAAAGGGATAACATAACAGAGGCTCACAACTCAAAGTTCGTCATAGACCCTGGAAGTACTAAATTATATCAAAGTATGCAACCCTGATTTTGGTAGAGCAATATGAAAAGAGATATAGCCAACTTTATTTCCAAGTGTCTGGTATGTCAATAGGTCAAGGCTGAGTATCAATGCCCAGACGAGTTACTTCAATCATTACCGATCCCGGAGTGGAAGTGAGAGCATATCACAATACACTTCGTGAAAGAATTGCTTAAGGCACGAATAGGGCATGATGTTATCTGAGTGATTGTTGACCAGCTCACCAAGTCCTCTCACTTCTTGGCTATTAAGATGACCGATCCTTTGGACAAACTAATAAGAATGTATATTCAGGAGATAGTCATACTACATGGAGTTCTAGTGACAGTAGTATCCGACAGGGACCTCAGATTCACTTCTCGATTTTGGTCTAGTTTACAGCAAGTCATGGAAACGAAATTGTCCCTTAGTACCATATTGCACCCTCAAACTGATGGACAATTAGAGAGGACGATTCGCATACTGGAGGATATGCTCCGAGCTTGTGTTATAAACTTTGGAAGCCATTGGGATGATAACCTACCTTTGATAGAGTTTGCCTACAATAACAAATACTAAGCAAGCATCAGCATGGCCCCGTATGAGGTATTGTATGGTCACTCATGCAGATCACCGATCTATTCAGAAGAGGATGGTGATAGAAAATTATCCAACCTAGATCTTGTGAAGGAGACTACAGCTAAGATAGTTAAGATCAAAAAGAATATTCAGACAGCTCATAGCAGACAGAAAAGTTACGCAGACACTCGGATGAGGGATTTGGAATTTGAGAAAGGTGACCTAATGTTTCTTAAGGTCACTCCTTTCAAAGGGATCAGTAGGTTTAGCAAAAGAGAAAAATTAAATCCCTAGTTCATCAGGCCATTTGAGATCTTAGACCAGATTGGTACGATCGTCTATAAACTGACATTACTTCCAAAGTTATCCATAGTTCATAATGTGTTCCATATCTATGCTACGCAAGTATAACCCGAACCCCTCATACATCTTGTCCCACGAGCTTTTTTTACTCTAAGAGAATCTATCTTATGAGGAAGTACCATTAAACATTATAGACTGGAAGAGTAGAGTACTCTGCAACCAAGATATTTCATTCGTCAAAGTCCTATGGCAGAACCATACGTAGGAAAAGACCACTTGGGAACTAGAATCAAACTTCAGGGCCTACTACCCCCAGCTATTAGACTGAGTGACAGAGTGACCAATTTGAGAGATCAAATTTTCTTAAGAGGGGAGAGTTGTAATGCCCAAGCCTAAAAAATGACCCGAGATAATTTTTTATTATTATATTATTAATTTAAAATAATTAATTATTTTATTTTATTTTTATTTAAGAAAAATTTTGAGAAAAAATAAATTAGGGACGAGATTGAAAATAATTTTGGAAAAAATGAGTAAAAATTTGGTTCAGGAGGTGTTTTGAAAGAAAAATTAAAAATAGAGGGTTAAGGTGCAAAAAGAGAAAGTTCAGCCACGTAGGATCACCCAGTTAGCAACCTTGACGAACTGGAGCACGCCGCGTGGCAAGGCACGTTGACGTCGGTGCCATACGGGAGGCCACACAGATGATCTGTGTGCCTCACGATTGGACGACCTTGGATCAATCCCACATGCATGGACGGTCCGGATTCGTTTTTTTCTTAAGCGCGATCGGACGATCGAGATCAACGTGATGAACGGTTTATATTCATTTTCTCCTTATGCGCGATCGAACGAACAAGATCGATTGCGATGGATGGTCCAGATCAACGCGGGATGGGTATAAATATTTCGCATCATAAAAAAACTCAAACCCTAACCGCCAGCCTCCGCTAGAGAAGAAGAACCAGACGGTGGATAAGGAGGCCGACTGCCGATCACCATCACACCGTAGCCACTATCGGCTGCAAAAAAAAGTAAAAATTTTCCATACCCTCTTGAAATTCGATTCTGAGCACCTTTGTGGCCAAATCAGAGCAAGAGGGATGGCGGGTGAGCTGAAAATCGTGGGCAAAGCTCGGCCAAGCCGCCGTGGCCAAAATCCCAAAATACCTCTGATGAGCCTCTTTTCGCTTCCCGTTTCACACGATTTTTCGATCATTGCATTTATCATCCTTTTCTATGCAGGTTAGCTGAAGAAAGAATCTTCGGGTAAAGATCCCTCACCCTATACAAGTCACTAGTGAAGCCGGAACCGGTTAATTCACAATTATCTTGATTTTCTGTTTATTTTTTTGTACTGTCCTACTTTCTTTATTTTTTTATAGTACATGTTCTTAATTTATAGTTTCAATAGTCTTATCGACTTATCTGATTATTTTGATTATATATTGTCAGCATTAATGTAGTTTAATTGATCTGTAAATATGATATGAGATATTGGTATGCGTTGTTGGTTGATGAAAATTTGTATGTGAAAGACTTGTTGGTTACTAAGGAAAAGTGCGAACGAGTCCGGTACATAGGGGACCCTACCATGAACGTTACCTCAGTCGGACGGGGTTGGAAAGTCTCTTACCAGAAAGGTTTGGGAGATATGATTCACCTTTATACTAAACGAGGTATTAAGGCGACGAAATGTTTGGCTTCTATTACCGGACGGGATATGGAGACGGCCGGTTAATTGTAAAATTGAATATTATATTCACGAGTATGGAGGAGATCCTTATGGACCCATAAAGGTACTAATAAGCAAGTAAGAACTGAAAGTTATTATCTTTTGTTTTTTTATGCGTGAAAGTGAAAAATGGTATAGCTATACGTTTTCATAGGTTATTTTTTAAAAATTCATTACGGTAAGTATCAAACAAACATTTTTAAATTTAAATATATTTAAATAAAGCAAATGCTCTATTAGTTGTTTTTTTATTTTTACTAATTTTTAGTTTTCCGTATCAGTGATTAGTGTGATATTCTTAATGGACTAATATAGTTCACTACTTTATTAACCATTTCATATCAAAATTATCAGAATCCAGATCCCAATTAGCAAGTGAGTTGTTAGTAGTTCAACATCGAACTCCTTTCAAGTACCAGTAAATATTGTCTTATGGTACTTTTGTATTCGTTTTTTCATTTCATTTCTTTAACTACCGTTTATCTTTCAAAATGAATATTCTCGTAACCTTATTACACATTTTAAATTATTGTATAAAAAATGAAAATTTTAACTCTATTAATCGTTTTTGCATTTATTTTATAAATTCATTTTCATTTAAGGTTTCGGAGCTTTTCATATTTCATCAAACATTAGTATATATGTATATATTTATATATGTGGGCAATATTTATTTCATCAAAATGGATTAAAAATATAGTAAGTGAAACAAGCGGGTAACTTATGTCAGTTAAGTTTTGTGTATATAATTAATCAGATGGGGACTACTTAAATTTATCATATAATCATATTACCATATAATTAAACGTACCATATTAGCTAGCATGATCATGAGAAAAAAGCATTAAAAAGATGGATCGGAACAATATTAAATCCACACGTTACAGAAGTACCAATTTTTGGATCCATCTCAGCCAAATATGTGTATATACAAGAAGTGAACATGCTTCTAATGCTATATCATAGTCATATTGAATATAGTGCAACTGTCAATCCCAAGACACTATCAATACAAACAATATAATTATGTAACAAATATCACATGTTTCATCATTAAACCATCTTTAAGAGTAAAGAAACTAAAATCATCAACATCCATTAACTATGGCAATAAGGAATCCCCCAGGTAATTATTCATAGGCTGAGGCACACAGGAATCATCATAACTAGCCCATGAATTCATGAAGTACAAGCACTAAAGTTATATCAAGGGCACCAATTATATAACTTCGGCTCATTTTTTGCAGAATGATCAACAGATAAAAGAACTGGCAAATGTAACTAAGATGCTGCATGACATTATTATTCATATAGTCCAAGTTTATGTGACCTAAAATTTTTGTCAAATGAAATAACTTCCACCTCGATTGTTCCCACGAATCCAAAAATAAAAATAAACGAAAAAGTTTGTCCCCTAATTAGATGTGTATTGATCATTATAAAATGCTGAGATACAATGGCATTGCTCAAACAAAACATCCAAAATTTTTCCATCAGTAAAATTGGCATATCCAACAGGATAATGACAAATAATCGTTCTCTCATTTAATATGCATACCACTTCTATCCCCTACTAAACCTGCAAAGTGATGAAGTAGAAGAGTGACTATGTAACATACATCCTTCTTGTGAAATCCGAACTACTTCCTTGTTTTGTTAAGCCTCTGCAAGTGGTAATTTATGCTGCCCCATGCTTTTCGGTTTTTGTTATTCTGCAAAAAATATTCAGCATTAATACTCACGTCACATTGCAAGAGATGCTGGCTCGATGAGTAGAATATCTGTTAAACTACATCATGCGGGGGGAACATAGAAGGGGAAAAAAGAACCGGAAATCAAAATTACCTGGGCATCCATACAGGCACCCAAAAGCTCCTTTTGCCTGGCACATTTGTCATCATTTATCTGGTTTAAGGACAAGCAGTTGAGAAATGACATCATTTCTTTCATGCAAGGTTTTGCAAATGCGCCAAATTTCTTCGGGTTTATGTATAGGCTACCAGATTTTTTCCCCATTATTCTGCAATTCAAACCACACATTGAAAACTTCAACCAGACTAAAGTAAGCATATAAAGATTATCAACTAGTATATAAACACATCTGCTTAGGAACTGAGGAAAGCACCACAATTTTGTTCGTGATCAACTACCAACCAAAGAATAAAATGACAATGTATCATGTGAACAACCTGATAAGCATTCAAGATGAGCAGGATATTAACATGGTTGCTGCACTTAACTGGAAATGTTTGACGGACTCAAATTCCACATTGATAAGATTTTGCTTACAATTTGGGAAATGTATTTCAAACTTAAAAACAAAATCTTAGTTTTTATTATCTATGCAATACCAAATAATAAATATTTTATTGTTCCTTCAAGAAAAAAACTTTCCTTTCCATATCTTAAAGAAAGACTTAAGTTTGAACACCAACTTAGAAAAATAAATTTTCCAGTTTTTATATTGCCACATTAACAGTTCTTTGGTAACCTAACCTAGTGTGTTCATATTTCAATTAGAAGTTCTAAGGTGACTCTTTTTCTAATTGTCTTATTCATATATATATAATTACTCTATTCAAAATTCCTTGAACTATTAGTAAAAGACATTCTAGTATCAATAGTAAATAATTCGAAGTCTCTTTCCTATAAGCTTTACTTTAAAAAAACAAGAAAATAAATATAATGCATATATAGCAGAAAATAAGGATTAATAGATTTATATTCTAATCACACTATTATTTGTTATACAATAAAATATTAAAATAAAGAAAAATATTATGATTTAAGCCCTTTTGCCGAGCCATATCTATCAAAATTCCTCCAAAAAAAGAAAAAAAACCTTGTTATTTAGTTACTGAAATAAATAACCTCGATATTTTTAACATCATAACTTTGAGAACATAAGAGATGAAAGGAATACATAACATATCAACAATTACCCATAAACCCGCTTAATATAACCCCTTTATAAGAACATTAGTTATGTTGTGCATTCCAGATGGGGTAAAATGGAACCACTGGAACTAGAAAGACAAAGAAAGGCTTCTTTCTTAGAAGATGAACTATTTATTGCCTATCATATGCCGAGTTCATTAATACAAGTTTCGTCACTGTACTGGATTAAAGTTAAGATCTATTGAATTCCCTTAATAAGACAATCTTAAACAGATATCTTTGAAAGAAAAAATAAAAATAAAACAAATCAAAAGAAGAGGTCTGATGGTAACAAAGAAGAAACATGTTATTTAAACACAAAGCATTCACCCATTTTACTACAGCAAAACCCAGATATAATGTACTCAAAGTTACTCATCCGGTAAAGCCGTCAGTAGCAGATTAGGAGCAATGAAGAGAAAATCTTGAATATTCATTAACGAGAAATAGAAGATCAACAAAATTATTCAATGACCAAAAGGGATAATACCCATCAAGGCAAATACAAACACCCAACTGAGACTTATCCAAACTTAATCTTCAAGTAAATTATATAAATGCACGTATATCTGTAGTTTGTGGGCGCGCAAATGTACAGGAAAACAATTAAGCAATGAGCATTGGCGGCTAAGGGAGATACCGAGAGAGGGAGTGAGTTAGTGAGTGAGGGCATAAAGCAATGGAGAGGGATATATACGCGTGAGTATGTGAATCAAAATTTACATCAAATTCTGAAGTTCCCGTTCGCTATTTCGATTCACCTTATCAAAATTTAATCGACAAGTGAACTTTAATTTGAAATTGAAATTAAAATATCAAAAAGAAAATGTTTCAACAGCTCCAGTTGAACAATAAGAAATCAACGATTCTAAGTAGAAGCGAGGGACCTTACCGGAGAACCGACCTCGAGAATTGAAGAAGGGAACTCCCGCAAGCTCTAGGGCTTTGAGGCTTTCAGCTTTGCAAGTCACTGTATTAACAAGTTTCTGGTATTTTTCTCATATGGAGTCGGGTCGGATCTTGTTCCTTTCCTGAGATTTCGGTGTAAGGCCCGAGACTGATTGGGCTAAACTGAGCCCATCTAATAAACAAATAGTCTAAGAAAAATGTGGGCCCGAAAAGCCCTGAATCCCACCAACCCACTGCCGTGCCAATCAATATAATATCGAGAATTGACACTTTATTTTTAAAATAATTTTATATTTAATATAATAATATATAAAAATATTATTTCTTTTTAAAATAAAAAATAATTTTAAATATATTAAAATAAAATTAATGTGATAATATAAATATGAATAATATTATAATAATTTAATGCAATAATATATAATATTTAATTACAGTTAATTAAAAATATAATTTTAAAATACAATATGTAATCAAAATTTATTTACAAAAGATTGCTTCTCACTTAGCACTAGAATTATAGTATACATATATTAATTAACACTGAAATAAGATAAACCCATTACTTCGATTTCCTACCTTTCCATACAAAGAATGGAAGATCTGTAAGTAATTTTTTTGGTCCTACACTGATTAAATTTCACAGCAATAAATTGTTACACAAGTGGAACCCTGCAAATTACTTCAGATTGTGTAAATTTATGCATAATATTTCAATATTTTTCCTTTTTAAGCGTACGAAAGCAGAAAGAAAGAATCCAATGCAGATATTCAACTCTCGCAATAAATACGTAATAAATAAAATATTATTAAAAAAAACAAAAAAACAAGGAGACAAAAATAAAATTGTACATAGACAGGAAAAATAAACTCATGCACGCACTTGGGTTTAAAACCCCATGACATCATCATACTTGTGTTCCCTTCGTAATCATTGGCAGCCAACCCAAGCGGTCCTCCTCCTATTTTTACTATTTACATTTTATTAACTATGTATATATATTAAGTAAATTTAGTATTTATTTTTTATTAATTTAAATCGTATATTATTTAACAAGTTAAACCTCATATATATATATATATAGAGAGAGAGAGAGAGAGATTATTATTATTTTTTTTTTTTATTCTTAAAATCCAAATTTTTGTTATAATGATATAATATATATATTTTGAGTTAATAATTTAAATTTGAGTTTTATATATTTAATAATTTAAAAATTAAATATTTTAAAATTTTTACTTTCTTGCTTCGTTTGAAAACTGATGGATATTTTTATATTATTTCATTCACTAAATATGTGGGTAAATTAATTTACATGATTTTTTTCGAACCAAAATTATTTATTTAAAAAAAAAAAAAGAAGATGATTTTAAGCACTAAAAAATAAAATAAAAACAAAACAAAACTACTTTGTCTTTGTAGTAGTTCGAGATTTGTGTATCGAAATGTTTGGATGTGTATATATAAACAAAAGACATGATATAGAACAAGTGGTATTAATATTCCGTCCTCCAAACGTCAATCAAATATCAAATTATATTTTATTTTATTTTATTTCACGTGAATATATATATATATATATGTTTAATTTACGCCATAA